AGCTAAAATGCTTAGAACCCCAGTAAGTGGACAGAATGTGGAGCAGCCTTTTTCTGCATGGGTTGTCTGAAAATTTGTTCCATTTAATCAACCCTGTGGAATGCAGTCTGTTAGGGACTTACCGTGATAAGGTAAGAACCACACTGGTATAGTGAGGAGGTTTTTAAAGGAGAAATCTGTCTTCTTACTCCACCTTTGCCATTTAACTAGCAGGTAGCCTTGAATAAACTTCATTCTTGTTTGTAAATGAGATTGTGCAAATGAGGTACAGCTTTGGGGTAGGCTTTGGGGCAATAAAAAAGCACTTTTAAAAAGTTAATAATTTGGGGCTGGGGATGTGGCTCAAGCGGTAGTGCGCTTGCCTGGCATGTGTGCGGCCCGGGTTCGATCCCCAGCACCACATACAAACAAAGATGTTGTGTCTGCCGAAAACTAAAAAATAAATATTAAAATTCTCTCTCTCTAAAAAAAAAAAAGTTAATAATTCATATTTGTATGTATTTTTTAGTACTGGAGGGCCCACACACATGTGCTCTACCACTGAGCTTACACCCCCTCTTCCCCAGCTGAGTTATACTTCTTAGGGCCTCTCCTAAGGAATTAACTCTAAATATAGAAGAACATTGTACACAATGATATTCCTTGCAATATTGATTATTTAATGGTTCAAAACATTTGTGAATGACATAAATGGCCAACAAAGGGTGACTGATTATGCACTTGGTGGGATTTTCATGTAATTTAAAACTCTTCAGAAACTAGATAATAACATGGGAAATAATCATACAATTTTGAGAAATGTTAAATAATTTTTTAATGGGTTTGTATTATATTTAAAAACAAAAATGAAGAAACAAAATCAAAGGGATTTACCCTAGAAGTGCATTTGGTTTCTGGCTCTTGTACTTTGTGATTATGTGATTAAGTTAACATTGAAGTTATATAGTATGGCACCCTACTTTTTCTAAGTATTCTATCCTGATTTAACTTATTTTTATAAACAAGCCAGGTGGTACTCCATTGTGAGGCATTTTTACTGGAGGGTGAGCCACACTTGTGGTGACTTGGAGGCCACCTTCTGTATTTTGCCTGTTTATTCTAGCTTTCTTCCTCTGCTTATCTACTTCCATCAGGTCACAGTTCTGATCTGATTTTTATGTGATGTGCAAAGAATTCTACCTCTCTATAGAAAAGTTACAAGTCAAATTATTAATCTGATTGCTATAAAATAGCAATCACATTAATAATTTTTTTCAGAAGAAATGACTGCCTTCTTTTTTAAAATTCTTATTCGTTATACACGATAGCAGAATGCATGTCAATTCATTGTACACAACTGGAGCACAATTTTTTCTCCGGTTGTACACGATGTAGAGTCGTACCACATATGCAGTCATACATGTACCTAGGGTAATGATGTTCATCTCATTCCACCATCTTTCCTACTCCCATGTCCCCTCCCCTTCACTCTCTCTTCTTTGCCCAATCAAAATTGCTTCATTCTCCCCCTACGCCATGCCCCCCCCCGCCCCCGCCAATCCATTAAGGATCTGTATCTACTTATCAGTGAGAACATTCATTTTTTGGGGGAGGGGATTGGCTTACTTCGCTTAGTATGATATTCTCCAACTCCATCTGTTTACCTGCAAATGCCATAATTTTATTCTGTTTTAGTGTTGAGTAATATTCCATTGTGTATATGTATCACAGTTTCTTTATCCATTCTCTATTGAAGAGCATCTAGGTTGCTTCCTTTTTTAAAAAAATTTTAATCTGATAATTTCAGAGAAGAACCTAACTACTTCCTATATCTCCAGCCCTTTTATTTTGAGACAGGATCTGTGTTGCTGAGGGTCTCACTGGTAACTCTTTCTGGCACTGATTCAAGACAAAATATCTATTGTGCCTTTTACCATAGTCTTCCCTACATATTCTCATTTTGAGAAAAAAATAATTTTTTCTTTGTGTGTTTATATGCTGGAGGGCTGTTTTTGGCTTAGACTATCATTCAGGTTAATAGGAACCTGAATTGATTGTCCCCTGAGATGTGGGGTTGCCAGCAGTTGTTTGCTAGAATGATTTTATCCATATCCTTTTTAGCAGTAAAATATTGGAAAGAAAATTATATGATACATGTCTTTGGATTACTGCTATTTTTCTTACCAACAACTGCCATTGTTTTAATACTGCTCTTCTGGTCTTTAGGCTCTTGAAGAGGGATAGTTCAGATTTTGTAGCTGTTGCAAATTGGTATATAATTTAGTTACTCTGGCAGCTCCTCTGGAAAACTTGTTTCTTTTCCCTCCCCTTTCTGACATTGGGTATAGGAAACAACTAGAAAAGTATCAGTTCTATTCACAGGTCTATCCAGCCTTTATTAAAGTACCTACCAGTAGCCAGCTTCAGCAACTTAATGACACCTTATCTCAAAGTTAAAATGGTTGAGCCGGGGTGGGATGGAGGGTGTGGTGGTGCACACCTATAATCCCAGCAGTTTGGGAGACTGAAGCAGGAGGATCACAAGTTCAAAGCCAGCCTCAGTAGTGTAGCAAGGGCTTAAGCAACTTAATGAGACTCTGTCTCAAAATTTTTTAAAAGGGCTGGGGATGTGTCTCAGTGGTTAAGTGCCCCTAGGTTAAATCACTGATAAACCCCCCCCCCCCCAAAAAAAAAAAAAGTATCTACTGTGTTTCAGGCAGTATACTAGCTGCCTTAAGGGTAAAATAGATTTGAAAATGAAAGTTGTTGCTTTTCTTTAAGATTCTGAACGTTTTTTTCAATTTGAAAAGGTAGAATTGATAAAGGAAATTGAATTCTGAATTTAAGTGTAACAACTTATAATAAAAGTGTGATGAATTCATATTCTATAGTCCTACAATTTATTAATACAAAGAATATGTAAAACATAAATGGAATAATAAATGCATTTACATGTTATTTGGCCTGTATTTCTATTGGCTCGGTGTTTTACAAATTTTTGTGAAGGCGGAGATTATGACATATTTAGATTTTTTTTTTTTCAGTTTTATTTGCTTTATAATTTAAAATTCTAGAGCTGGGGATATATGTGGCTCAGTGGTAGAGAGTGCATGCTCCAGTCCCCAGCACTGCAAAAACAAAAACAGGGAACGTCTGTGTATCAGTAAACATTATAAATGTTTCATTTTTATGTGGCAGTAATTATTATTATTATTATTATTATTTTTGGTGGAGATTGAACCCAAGGCTTAGCACATGGTAGGCAAGCAAGCATTCTACCATTGAGCCACTTGAGTTTTTTTCATTTGGCTTTCAAAGTTTTATTATAATGGTCAAACAGTCCAAAATCAAAACACAGTGTTTTGGAAACATTTTTCTTAGTATGGTAAAGAATGTGAGAATAATATTAACCTTATAAAATTTGAGTGGAATTTTTTTTAAATTAGGGGTTTATTTATTTATTTTTTTATTTTACAGTAGAATGCATTTTGACATGAAGTGCACAAATGGAGCACATCTCATTCCTCTGGCTATACACGGTTCAATGTCACTCCACTATTATAATCATACATGTATATAGGGTAATAATGTTTGTCTCTTTCTACTGTTCTTCCCATCCCCACAGCCCCACCCCTCACCTGACTCTCCTCTACACAAACCAAAGTTCCTTCATTCTTCCCTAAATTAGGAGTTCTTAATCTGGGTTTCATAAAGTCAATGAAATGTCTGAAATTATTTGTAAAATTTAAGTGTATGAACATTTTTCTGCAGAACAGTCTATAGATATTCATAGGATAATGTGGCTTAAAAAGTGGTTTAAAAACCATTGCTGTAAAGGAATTTTAGTTACCTACATTTCTGTTGTTAGAAAATAGATAGGTATTGGGGCTGGGGCTGTGGCTCAGTGGTAGAGCACTCGTCTGGCGTGCTTGGGACACCGAGTTCAATCCTCAGCACCACATAAAAATAAAATAGTAAAATAAAGATGTTGTGCCCACTTATAACTAAAAAATAAATATTAAAAAAAAATAGATAGGTGTACCTAAACCTTCCTTTGTTTTATCTTAGGCTTTTCTGAATATTTGAGTGGAAAAGATAAAGTTTTGTTTTCTTTTCTCTTTACAACCTTTTTTTCTGCCTTTAAAATCACCTTCAAGAATTGTTTACTGCTTCCATAGGAATTTCTTTTGGTATTTTAGCTAATTGTCTGTTTTGATAATCCTTAAGCCACCTCAAAATCTGAACTGAGAAATTCACTGTTTGGATTCTGAATTCTGAAACTGAAAAAGAACATAAGCAACAGATAGGAGATTTTGAACAGTTAGAATGGTGGTTTCAGTCATACTTTTTTTTTTTTTTTTTAAAGAACTTCTTCAGGAAGTAAGTAAAGGTTCAGGAAAGAGTCTGCCATTCATGGGATAGTAAGGATATGGGGAGTCAGTGGCTCTATTGGTGTAGCAGGGGAAAGTGAAAGTAGAGAAGATGGCATTGGTGATCAGGCATTTCCTAAGTTCTCTGCCTTGCAGATTTTTTTTTCTTTCTTTCTTTCTTTTTTTTTTGGTACTGGGGATCAACCCAGGGTCACTTAACCACTGAGCTGCATCTTTAGCCACTCCCCCACCACCACCTTTAAATTTTGAGACAGGGTCTTGGTAAGCTACTGAGGCTAGCCTGGAACTTGTGATCCTCCTCTCTCAGCTGCCAGAGTTGCTGACTATTGTACCTGGCTCTGTTTCATAGATCTGAATGGTTCACGGCTCTTTGTGGAAATGGGTCTTAAAAGAGTTGCTAGGACTGAGTGTGTAGCTGAGTGGCAGATCTCTTGTCTAACAAGGTTTTTGTGAGGCCCTGGGTTCAGTCTCCAGCATTGCAACAGACAAAAAAACAAACTACAAAACCAGAGAGTGTTGATATACTGAATTTAAAACTTCAGAGAAAGTGGAAGTTAAGCATAAACTTTCTTAAGAAAGATTTCTGACTTGCCTTCTCTTTTTTCATGTGCTCTCCTGCTTTTTGTGCAGGTGGATGGAAGCATGCCTAGGAGAGGGTTTGCCACCCACCACAGAACTGGAGGAAGGGCTTCGGAATGGGGTCTACCTTGCCAAACTAGGAAACTTCTTCTCTCCGAAAGTGGTGTCTTTGAAAAAAATCTATGATCGAGAGCAGACCAGATACAAGGTGAGTTCTACTTTACTTGGTGCTTAGATTTTTCTATAAAGTTGAGAAAGAAGGCTAGCGAACTGTATTCTGAGAGCAGTTGAGAAGTATGTGTAAGATGTGTTTGCTCCAATAAAGTATGGCCTTTAAAATACCTGGAAGAATGGAGGAAATAGTGCAAAAGAAATATATAGTAGTAAAAGAACTTTGTCTCTCTGTATTTCTGTTAGAATTCTCTTTTTGGTGCTAGAAATTGAACCTATGTCTTCACTCATGCTGGACAAGCACTCTACCACTGAGCTATATACCCTGGCCCCAGTAGAATTCTTATGTTGCTGTGTGTCCAGAAATTTTCATAATCCTAATCCTAGATGAAATTTTTCATTCTTGGAAAGTAGAGGAAGTAATTAGGGGAATTACTTTTATTTAGGTACCAGGGATTGAACCCAGGGGCACTTAAAAACTGAACCACATCTCTAGCCCTATTTTATTTATTTATTTATTTTAATTTTGAAACATGGCCTTTCTTAGGCTGGCTTTGAACTTGCAATCCTCCTGTCTCAGCCTCCCTAGCCACTGGTGGTATTACAGGTATGTGCCACTGTGCCCAGTAGGAAATTACTCTTTAAATCTAATTTTAACCAAGTGCTGAGATTTATTGGCAAATAGAAATCCATAGCAACTTCAGGCAAAAGCATTACTCTGTAATATCAGGTAATATGCAAGGTTAAATGCAAAAATGACTCAATTTCAGAAAATTAAAATTAATAAAATGGTTTGATTTCTGTGACTCAGGGCCCTGAAAAAGACTATTAAACTAAATTGGAATATTGATAAGGAGCAAATTTTGTTGTCTACAGAACTCCTAAAGGGACTTTGCTCATCAGCTCTTACTTGTAACAGCATGAGTATGAAAAAAATGGCGGAGGACAGCATAGCTAATGGTGAATGTAAGAGTGGTCAACTCTCAGAATTGGGCCATACATCATAATGAGCTCAGACTACAGATGATGTGAAGAAAGATTTTTACATTGTGTGTTGAAATTCAGGTGAAAATAGAGAAGGTATAGACCCTAAACCAAAATTAATATCTTAAACAGAAACTTTTCTTAGTCAAAAAACAAAACACATTGAGTTTTAAGTAAGCAGTTATTCTGAAGACAACTCTGGAGCTGTTCTTTAGACAAAATAGAAGGATAATAAAGGAGAGTAGAAACTTCACAGCAATGATTTTTTAAAAAATATCCTCTCTTTGTAAGGATTTACTCTTGAAAGTAAATCTTGTTCAGAAACAGCAGACATAGGGACAGTGGGTATATGTAGCTCCATGCTAAAGCACTTGACTAATGTACTCTCAGCCCTGAGTTCAAACCATACCACTTTAAAAAGAAAAAGATGTTTAGAAGAGGGTATTTTTATGTGTAATGTGAAAACCCTGATTGATGTATTATAATATTTATCATTTTATTGGTAACTTCTATTTTTTATATGACACAATAATTGCTTTATGTACTTTATCTCATAATCTTTTCAATAAATATATAAGGTAGGTGTTATAGAGGGGGAACCACAGACTGAAAGGGTGAAGTGACTTGTTTATGTCACCAGTTGATGCCATGAATTGAATCCAGGATTGTGAAACTCCAAAGCCAGTATTCTGTGAAGCACACTGTATACAGGATGGTTTTCTGAGTGATTCCTAAGTGAGAGGAGCTGATGTATAAATTGGCTTCTTGGTATTGGAATGTGAATATAGTGACTTTAAATTTGAGGGGAGCTTGTAAACTCTCAGGAGGAAACTTCTGTCAGGAGAGTTTTTATTTAGTATTTGCCAATAGTACTTAATGGTCTTTTATTTCTTCTAGGCAACTGGCCTACACTTTAGACACACTGATAATGTAATTCAGTGGTTGAATGCCATGGATGATATTGGATTGCCTAAGGTAACTTGCCTGATATTCATAGTTCTGCCTGTTTCAGTAAAATAGTTCTCATTCTATCTATAAAATTATTCTCAGGATGTTTGTTTTGTGCTACTGGCAATTGAATCCAGGGGTGCTCTACCATTAACCTTCATACCCAGCCTTTTTTATTTTAAGATAGCCTCTTGCCTTAAACTTTCAGTTCTCCTGCCTCAGCCTCATGAGTAGGTGGGGATTATGGGAATGTGTCTCCTTACTGGTGGTTAATTTTTTGTTTAATGCTAAAGATTCTTTTTTTCTTTTCAATTTGTTCTTTTTTTTTATTTTCTTATACCTGTTTTGTTTTACTCTAGTGAAATTCCCTATGATGATAATTACTTTTACTACATTAATTTTAAGACTTATATTAAAGTGTTTTTTCTTAAATAGAATTTACATACTCTAAATTTCATCATTTTAAAGTGTACAGATAGTGGCTTTTATTTATTCACAAGTTATTACATTAAAAATATGAAGTTAGGCCAGGTGTGGTCATGCACATCTATAATCCTAGCAGCTTAGGAGGCTAAGACAGAAGGATTAAAAGTTCAAGGCCAGCCTCAGCAACTTAGCAAGGCCCTAAGCAACTTAGTGAGGCCCTGTCTCAAATTAAAAAGAAAAAAGTCTGTGGTCATAGCTCAGAGGTAAAGCACCCCTGGATTATATATCCGGTACCCATCCCCCCAAAATTAAAAAAATATATATTTATATATACACACACACATGTGGAAGTATTTTAGAGATGTCATTTTCCAGCTTCAGAGTAACCAAAATCCATAGGTTATTTTATATTTCAAATTGTCAAGGCAATATAATGACATTTCTCCCTGTGTCTGTTTTTGGTGGTGGTTGTATAGCAATGTGCATATTCTGCATTTTTTCTCAGGAGTTTATTTTTGTGCTGCTATTAGTGAAATTGCTACTCACTAGATACCCATAAAGGCCATGTCGTCCTTGGAGGCATGGTTAAGTTTGTCTTTGACCTACTTTTAAGAATTTATTTCCCCTCAAACAATTAGAAAAACACAAAAGATGTATTTGTAAGGATTTTCCAGCCTGCTTATAATAGAAAAATTGATAGCAAATCACTTGTTCCTTCACTAGGGATACTATTGGTGTTAAAGTCAAATATGGGTGCCATTATATGTCCGCTTATGTAGACAAAGGAGCTGTCTTCACGTATTAAGTAGGGGGAAGGAAACCAGTTTATGGTTATAAGAGCTTGTGTCCGGCTAACTCATTTCTGTGTGTTGGGATTAAGAGGTGGTTTTTATTTTCATTATATGTAGCTGTGGAGTCCAAATGTTTATAACTAAAGAAAGAATAAGAATAGTGATGTGTGAAGTATCAGAAAGTGGCTTACACCACTTGGAAATGAATATTTGATATTTAGTGTACTGCTGAGCTCAGTATTAGCTCATGTCTGTTGAAATGAGTTAAATCCAGAGCTGAGTCTTTGTAGAAGACCAGCTTTTATCCTCTTTTTTTCAGAGCAGAGTGCTGAAATTCTGTTCCTTGCCACTGGTATGTTTGAGAATTAGGCCCTACAAATGTCAGGAAATGCAATGTGTCAAAATGTTTACAGCTGCTTGGCCTTTCTGTGCACCTGTAACTTCCTGTTCCTGTTTTTTTATATAGTGTATCGCCAGTGGTCAATGACAATTTAACTTCTGTTGAATGGTACTAAGAGCTTTTTTAATATTTGCTACTGCTGGTAGTGTTATTACTATAAGATGCCTTCTTATTGATGTAATTTTAATTACTTTTTTGTTTGTTTGTTTACTAACAGTAGTAACAAACATAGAGTTCCCCAAAGGCTTTCAGGGACAGCATGGTAATCATGTCTGTAGCCTTGGAATATCTACCATACATGATGTAGGTCCAGAAGGCTTCTGAGTAACATGAACTAAAGATACTTCAGCCTAAAAATATATTGATACCCATAAAATAATGTATGGTGTGTAATTTACAGTACATATGTAGTGTTTTGGGATGTCTTTCTTAATCTCCTTATGATAAGTATAGAAAATTAATACAATGATCTTTTGCTTCCTGTCCTTTCTTTTTTTAAAAAAAAATATATTTTTTTTAGTTATTGGTGAACACAATATCTTTATTTTATTTTCATGTGGTGCTGAGGATCAAACCCAGTGCCTCACACATGCTAGGCAAGTGCTCTACCATTGAGCCACAACCTCAGCCCCTCTTCCTGTCCTTTCTGATTTTTTATTGTAATTGATATTGTTGGCCACCTTCTCCCTGAAATCTTTTCTGATTTTGAGTTTTTAAATTGTTTTTAATTTGCCCAACTAGTCGTGATTACTTGAACTCTTCCACTTTTGTCTAACTCTGTCAATGGGCATTTTTAAAGATGCAATCTTTTTAAAGCTATTTCTCCCATTTTTGTGGTTTCCGTTATTAAGATTCATTTGCTATAAGAAGAACATGGTACCTTCAGTTGGTTGCGATCATTTCTCCTTGGATAGCTTTTTATCACCTAGAATTTTTTATATCTAAAACTAAACCTTTCTTTTCCCCAAGTAAACGTGCCCTTCTCTATGATAAGTGAGACCATGTCATCATTATTACAGTCATCCAAGCTTAGAACCTTGGTGAGATCTTAGTCTAACCAGTCATTTCGAAAACCTTCTTCATTTATGTGAGATTATCTCTTTTATCCATCCACTGTTTTATATATATAAGAACTCCCCAGCCTGCCTCTCCAGCTCCAGTCTTTTCATTATTCAATATATCCTATGTCCTGTCTCCAGTCAGATCTTCCTAAAGCTGTTTTTATCCTTACCCTTAGTTCCAAAGCTAGGGGTTTTCTTTATGTCCTGCTTATCAAGATCAAAATTGTCTGGCTTTTAAGTTGCTCATAGTAATCTGATTCCATCATACTGACCCAACCTTATTTTTCTATTACTTTCTAGAAGATATTCTGTATATTCTTGAAAGCAATGGGCTATATATTTCCTTACTCACAAATATGGTTATTATTGCTTTAACTTATTCTTTTTTCTTGGTATCAGGGATTGAACCCAGCGGCACTTTACCACTGAACTATACCCCCAGTCCTTTTATTTTTTATTTTGAGGCAGGGTCTGAGTTATTTAGGGTCTCATTAAGTTACTTTTATTTTTTATTAAGTTACTGAGGCTGGCCTCTAACATGTGATCCTCCTGCCTCAGTCTCCTGTGTAATTGGGATTATAGGCATGTACCATTACACCCAACTCTGCTTCATTTGTTCTTATAGTTTCTCTTGGTGGAAAATCTTTTACTGTCTATTAGGATTCACTCATTAGTTTAGGACTTCATAGTCTGTTTTCCTAGAGGTCTTTATTACTCTCCAGATTCTTCTAATCAACTCATTATTCAGTCTTTTGCTTCCTATCCTCTGTTACCCTTTATTTCTCTAAATCACAGATTGGGTTGTATGGTGCCACTCTACGAGAGAATAGGTCTTCAAATTCAAAGCTATTGCCAGTCTAAACCTAATGCTGTTGCTATTCTACCTCATTGGTTAACCTGTCAAATATAGAGGTGTTTCAGTGACCCTGGCTCTGAATTTGACATTAAATTAGCAGTAACATAGACCTAGTTCCCTGCCTTTCTGGGGCTTTTAGTCTGTTGGAGTAGCCATTACCGATAACTATAGGTAATTAGTTAATTGCACTAAGTGCTTTCAGGGAAAAATACCTGTCTTCTACATTCCCATATCCACCCTCTACTATATATACTTTATTTTTCTATCTTTCTACTTCTTCAAAGTATTATAGTACATTTCATATTTAATGTTTTTTTTTTAGTGTCTAAATATAGTAGTTTGCATACACTAAAAAGCATGTAGTGTTTGTTGTTGAAGTATTAATCTGACATAGTAACTAAAAAGATTGTGGTCCTTTAACGCCTCATACACTTGCCACTGATTTAAACTGAAATAGAACTTGGGTTTCTTTTACCTGTGTCTGGGTCTGAAGTAACTAAATCACTTTTTACACGTCTAATGAAATTCAGTGGGTTGACCAAATAAGGATTCCCCAAATACTTTTCATTATGTATTGCCACATCTTACTCCTTGCAGTGCTTATGATGAAATGTTTGTTCAACCTAATGAAGTGATTTTCTGAATGCCAACAATGTTTTTTAATTGTCCATAGTTTTATTTGTTTTATCGATGATTGGTGAATGATTACATGAAATCAGTGGATGGATAACTTACTCTGCTTGTTTTATTTCTTCCTAGATTTTTTACCCAGAAACCACAGATATCTATGATCGAAAGAACATGCCAAAATGTATCTACTGTATTCATGCACTCAGGTAATTAGATTTTCTTGGTAAAATAAGCAGTTTAGGAGTGACATCTCAATTGAGTGTGTGTCTTTGTCCATTGGAAGAGTGAACACATTTTTTCTTTAGCTTCAGGATTTTCAAATAGTATAGAAAGCTGCTAACCTCACACAATGGTGAGAAACAGCTGTGTTTTTCCAGGGAGTAAAGAGAATGGATTTATTTATTCCCATAATAACAGATAGTTTTGTTGTAAAAACACAGCAAAATCTTTCATTATTGATCTAGTGTCTCTGTGACCTCCGCATTTCACGCCGGTGCTGTCTTTTGTTTAGTCATCTAGGTCCTTGCCTTTATTAAGCTATTTGTTCACTCATTCAGTAATTTTTATACCAACATAAATATGATAATAGGAACTGAAACAAATTATTTTTTGCACAGCTTCATGGTAAATTGGGAACATGATTTAATTTCATATCCCTCATTCTTAGAATCAACAGGTGTATTCGATTGGAAGGAAAAGGCGATATCTCTGGAGGGAGGGGGGAATGGGAAGAGAGGGGATGCCTATCATATACTACAGTAATGTAGAATAATGTAGTATTTTAGTAGACTTATTTGATGGCCACAGGACTAAAGGAGAAGATGGGAAAAGTGAGTGAGACATGAATATAAGATTTCTTTGTTTGGATTGTACCTTTTTAGATAGCATCTTATGTGTGTGCTTAATAAATGTTGATTACATGAATGAAGGTATTGTATAATATTGATCTATAAGAAGCCTATTGTCACTCCATGGGGTGCTGCACTCTGTAATCATAGCTATTCATCAGGAGGCTGAGATAGGAGGTTTATAAGTTTGAGGTCAGCCTGGGCAACCAAGAGAGACCCTGATTAAAAATAAAATTAGATAAAAAGGGCTGGGGGTGTAGCTTAGTGGTAGAGTGCTTGCATAGTATGCACAAGACCCTGGGTTCAATCCCTGGTGCTACCAAAAAAAAAAAAGAAACCTATTTTTCTGAGTTTCTCTTCTTTCATTTTTATTCCTGGTACTAGAGATTGAACCTAGGGCTTCACACAAGCTAAGTACACACTGTACCACTGAGCTACAACTCCAGCCTGTTTACAGTGTGTTGATCACACATAATGCTGGTATCATTGGAACCAATGTGAAACACACAAAAGAATGAATACAGCTAAGGACTAGTGTACTCTTGTATTGAGAATATAGCAATTTCATATGTGCGTGTGTCTAAGCCAAAATCAGATTGATTCTGAGATTGTGATTGGCTTAGTGTCCTCAGTATTGATGATTTTAATTTTAATTTTATTTTTTGTCAATAACCTTATTAAAATTGTACCTATAATGGCTTTCTGAACTTGGCAAATGCAGAGGCTAAATTGGCAGAATTTCTCTCTACTAGTACTATAGCAGTAATGTAACCAGGGTCCCAGGCTTCAGTTCTCTGAAATACAGATGAGGATTAACTGTACCTTTCTCATGATGGAGTCAGAATGACAAAAGGGGGAGGTCCACTATTGTTTTCCATTTCTCTTGCATATGCAGTCTATGCTTAGAAAGTCTACACAGAGCAGTGTGTTCTGCTTTGAGATTTATAGTTTCTTTCCTCTCATTTGGTGTTTTTCCTGAAAGTGGGTGGGCACTTCCTACTTGATGATTAAGTAGGAAGTGTGTGTAATTTTTCAGAGCCTCTTCTTTTACCATAAGACACAACAGTGTTCCAGGCATGTTCCTCACCTCACACGTATTGGGGGTGGCATCACCTCCCTTTGGATCAACTGTGATAAAGAAGTATTATTTCTGTTTTCTTTCTGCCCCGCCCTCCCTCTTTAAAAGTCATTTGTTAAGGCATTATTCCAGGCATGATCATTGTACTTCAGTCATAGTTATTTTTTTAAATTTTTTTTTCATTATAATGGAAATAAATTCTTTTTTTTTCTTTTTCTTTTTCTTTTTATTTTTTTGACATGAAAATAATTTTATTCAAAATAAAGATTGAAAGTAAAAGCTTTTTTTCCCCCAAGGCTTTGGAAATTCATCAAAAACAATTAGTAAGAAAAAAAATCATGCATTCAGATTCTAAACAAAGAAATAAATTGGCTAATTCAAATCTTTAATAATTTGGCTGTTTCAATAAAACTGAACAGCTCTATAAAATGCATTTGGTAAAGTCACAAAGAATTTTTCATTTGTTTTGTTAAATTGATTTCAGAAATTACTACTAGATTTAGATGTATTAAATTATTATTATTATTTTTTTTTATATTCTGGAGTTCTTTTTTTCTTTTTATTGGTTGTTCAAAACATTATAGAGCTCTTGACATATCATATTTCATACATTAGATTCAAGTTGGTTATGAACTCCCAATTTTACCCCAAATACAGATTGCAGAATCACATCGGTTACACATCCACATTTTTACATAATGCCCTATTAGTAACTGTTGTATTCTGCTACCTTTCCTATCCTCTACCATCCCCCCTCCCTCCCCTCCCATCTTCTCTCTCTACCCCATCCACTGTAATTCATATCTCTCCTTGTTTGTTTTCCCATTCCCCTCACAACCTCTTATATGTAATTTTGTATAACAATGAGGGTCTCCCTCCTTTACCATGCAATTTCCCTTTTCTCTCCCTTTCCATCCCACCTCATGTATCTGTTTAATGTTAATCTTTTCTTCCTGCTCTTCCTCCCTGCTCTGTTCTTAGTTGCTCTCATTATATCAAAGAAGACATTTGGTATTTGTTTTTTAGGGATTGGCTAGCTTCACTAAGCATAATCTGCTCTAGTGCCATCCATTTCCCTGCAAATTCTATGATTTTGTCATTTTTTAGTGCTGCGTAATACTCCATGGTGTATAAATGCCACATTTTTTTTATCCATTCATCTATTGAAGGGCATCTGGGTTGGTTCCACAGTCTAGCAATTGTGAATTGTGCTGCTATGAACATCGATGTAACAGTATCCCTGTAGTACGCTGGGGAAAAGGGTACTCTTGTACATTGCTGGTGGGACTGCAAACTGGTGCGGCCAATCTGGAAAGCAGTATGGAGATTCCTGGGAAAGCTGGGAATGGAACCACCATTTGACCCAGCTATTGCCCTTCTTGGACTTTTCCCTGAAGATCTTTTTTTTTTCTTTTATTGATTTTTTTTAAAATACACAACAGCAGTGGAATGCATTACAATTCTTATTACACATAGAACACAGTTTTTCATATCTCTGTATATAAAGTATGTTCACGCCAATTTATGCCTTTATACATGTACTTTTTTGTATTACAATTCTTAATACACATGTATACCACAATTTTTCATCTCTGTTTGTATATGAAGTATGTTGACACCCAATTCAAGTCTTCATACATGTACTTTGTATAATGATGTCCATCACATTCCACCATCCTTGCTAATCCCCTGCCCCCTCCCTTTCCCTCCCACCCCTCTTCCCTATCTAGAATTCATCTAATCCTCCCATGCTCTCCCTCCCTACCCCACTATGAGTCAGCCTCCTTATATCAGATAAAACATTCGGCATTTGTTTTTTAGGGGATTGGCTAACTTCACTTAGCATTATCTTCTCCAACGCCATTCATTTACCTGCAAATGCCATGATTTTGTTCTTTTTTAATGCTGAGTAAAATTCCATTGTGTATATATGCCACATTTTTTAAAGCCATTAATCTACTGAAGGACATCTAGGTGGGTTCCACAGTTCAGCTATTGTGAATTGTGCTGCTATAAACATTGATGTGGCTGTGTCCCTGTAGTATGCTGTTTTTAAATCCTTTGGGTATAGTCCGAGGAGAGGAATAGCTGGGTCAAATGGTGGTTCCATTCCTAGGTTTCCAAGGAATCTCCATACTGCTTTCCATATTGGCTGCACTAATTTGCAGTCCCACCAGCAATGTATGAGTGTACCTTTTTCCCCACATCCTTGCCAACACTTATTGTTGTTTGTCTTCATAATAGCTGCCATTCTGACTGGAGTGAGATGAAATCTTAGAGTAGTTTTGATTTACATTTCTCTGATTGCTAGAGATGATGAGCATTTTTTCATATATTTGTTGATTGATTGCATATCCTCATCTGAGAAGTATCTGTTCAGGTCTTTGGCCCATTTGTTGATTGGGGTTATTTGTTTTTTTGGTGTTTAGCATTTTGAGTTCCCTAGCTTTTTTATATTCCCTAGAGATTAGTGCTCTATGTGATGTGTGAGGGATAAAAATTTGCTCCCAGGATGTAGGCTTTCTGTTCACCTCACAGATTGTTTGCTGAGAAGAAACTTTTTAGTTTGATTCCATTCCATTTATTGATTCTTGGTTTTAATTCTTGTGCTATAAGAGTCTTATTAAGGAAGTTGGGGCTGGGGATGTGGCTCAAGTGGTAGCGTGCTCGCCTGGCATGCGTGCGGCCCGGGTTCCATCCTCAGCACCACGTACAGACGAAGATGTTGTGTCCGCCAATAACTGAAAAAATAAATGTTAAAGATCTCTCTCTCTCCCTCTCTCTCTCTCTCTCTGACTCTCTCTCTCTCTTTAAAAACAAAAAACAAAAAACAAAAAAAAGGAAGTTGGGGCCTAATCCCACATGATGAAGATTGGGCCTACTTTTTCTTCTATTAGACGCAGTCTCTGGTTTAATTCCTAGGTCCTTGATCCATTTTGAGTTAAATTTTGTGCATGGTTAGAGATAGGGGTTTAATTTTATTTTGTTGCATATGGATTTCCAGTTTTCCCAGCACCATTTGTTGAAGATGCTTTTTTTTTTTCCACAGTCATAGTTATTTTTAAAGATAACACTCTATTCTTCATTATTCTTAATATATTTGTATACTTTCCATTTCCCCCTAAGTTTTGCTATTCTGAGAATACATTGGAGACTTGGGGGTGTGTAGCTTAGTGGTAGAGCAATTGCTTAGCATGCAGGAGGCCCTGAGTTTGATCACGAGTATTGCCAAAAAAGAATTCATTTGGGGGTCAAATAGGCCCATAATCCCAAATTAAAAAAAAAAAACAAAACTTAATATTGGGGCTGGGCCTGTGGCTCAGTGGTAATGCACATGCCTGGTATGTGTGAGGCACTGGGTTCGATTCTCAGCACTGCGTATTAAAAAAATAAAGATCTATCAGCAACTAAAAAAATTTTTTTAAACAAAACAAAAAAACCTTAATATTTCTGAAAATAAAGTTTTAGTGCAAGCTCTTTTGTTGGCAAAACCTGGTAAGGATTAATTGAGGTTATTTAGAATATTTATGTATACTTGTATGTTTCTCTGCAGAAAAGCAATGTATTGATTATGGGTGCTGCCCCAGCACATCCTGGGAATGTCTTCTAATACCATGTACACTATAGAATCTTTTTAATATTTGAAACATTTCTACATTGATGCATGTCTGGCTCAAAGAATTTAGATAAAGGACTGTGTATGGATTCTGTTTGCTAATTAACTGTCATAAGAGTTTTTATTAATAATCTTTGAGATTAGTTTATTGATTTCTATTTTACTCTGTGTCAGCAAAGATAGTTGGAATCAAGATTAGCCAACACAGCTTGCTTCTTGCTATTGCTACAAAGTGTAGCTTAAATAGGGAAAAAGAAAAGTCTAAGCTTAATGACATGCTGACCAGATACAGGTGTTTTTAGTTAGAAGCATGAAGCAGCCTGAGTGAAGGTTGGGAAGTAATGTTCACTGGTAGGGTTTTTAAGTTTTGAGTTTGAAGCTAAGTGCTTTTTGTGCTGGATTAGAGTATTTGAGTGGCTATTATGATTCTATTTATAGCTCCAGTGTTTCCATAAAATACTCCTAAACACTTCCTAATAAGTAAGGAAAGGTACAAGAAAGATGGTGCCCACACTCCTACTTTTTTCATCAGCCAGTGGTATCTTTGTACACTTTTAATTTACCATCAGATGACATTAAAAGTGACATTTTATGTCTCTTGGGCTATGAAAGTAATGTCCTTAAGTTTTATAAAATGTGGCGACCATTTTTCTATTTTATAATGGGAATAAAAGGGGAAGAAATTCCTGGAGAAAATACCCTTACTACTGGGCACAGTGGTGCATACCTGTACTCCCAGAGGATTGGGAGGCTGAGGCAGGAGGATCGCAAGTTCAAAGCCAGCCTCAACAATTTAGAAAGGCCCTAAGCAATTCAGAGACTCTGTCTCTAAATAAAATGTAAAAAAGGACTGGGGATGTGGCTCCTTGGGTTCAATCCCTGGTACTATAGATAGATTGATTAGATAGACAGATAGATAGGGCTAGGGATATAGCTCAGTGGTAAAGCTCCTCTGGGTTCAATCCCCAGTACAAAAAAAGATTAAATACTGTTATTAATCAGAATATAAGTCAGGCATATTAGTGGAGAAAATATATAAGGGGACCTATTACATGTATAGAAAGTTATTGATTATTTTTATTTTGCTCTGGAAAACTTCTTGAGTAGTTATAAAATCTTCTGAGAGAGCAACTTTATATGGTTTCATTTTGAATGTTTTGCCCCAAAGGAAAGCACTTAATCATATACATGGCACTTCTCTGAGAAAATATTTAACTGCTGTGGATATATAAACAGAAAATTCAGTGTGTTTTCAGTTCTACATTTGGGTTTATTGTATACAATTTAAGTTTTGATCAGTTCTGTGAATGCAGTGTGCATGATGCCTATATATATTTAAATGATGCTGAAGTTTATAGATAATTTGCAAAATCTGTAGACAATTAAATTTCTAGGATTTGTTTCTGATGTATTTTTTTGTCTTCTCCCTTATTGTTAACTGTCAATGTCTGTGAACTGTCCATTTGATCTCTTCTAACTTAATCAAATCTAGTCTGCTATAGTGTTATAATACACTAACCTTACCCAAGTTTACAGACACTTTTTATATCTGTGAGATATTGATTCATGTTTATGATCTATAGGCTCTGAGTGGATATTAGTGAATGAGACTTTTATTGTTCCTTCTTTCATGGAGCTTAGAGTCTAATGAATTTCTTTTCTTTGTTTGTTTGTTTAATTTAAAGATTAAGGTACATAATATGTACTTTATTAAAACTCTTGAATTACCTGAATTAAAATTTTATATCAGTAATATGAATTCAGTGTAAGATTTACTGTCTCAGAATGACAATTTTTCATGACAGTTTTTAAAGTGTCACCTAAAAGTTATTGATTATAGGAAGATAAACAGAAACCAAGAGACCTCACTAATATTAGTTATGTTAAAATTAATACTAACACCTAATTATACATTATGTTTATGCCAGAACTTGGATTTGAATTTATGTCTGCTGATTTCCCTGACTGCCAGTTTTCTTTAAGAGCAGCAGGTAGGTACTGCTGGGAGGCCTAACTCTTGTATATTATGTCTTCTAGTTTGTACCTGTTTAAACTAGGCCTGGCTCCTCAGATTCAAGACCTATATGGAAAAGTTGACTTCACAGGTAAGAAGCTACATGCTTGGCAGGAAATGTTTGATTTATTTGAAACAGGCTGGAAAGTCAGCAGCACCAATTTTAAAGAACTAGGGCTTTAAAAATACTCTGGAAAAAATGATGAAAGAAATATAAATAACTTGCCTTTCTTAATGTGATGGACAGAACACTAAACTTGGAATTTCAGGCTGTGTTCTTTCACTTACAACCTAGGTATGATTAGTAAATCTGTTTTCTCATATGTAAATTGAGTAATTTTAATATGTAATATATATAAAACATATAATTGTATTAACATCTAACATTAAATGTTCATGTATGGTAAAAAGAAAGTTTATAAGTCCTTCCCATTCCTATTATGGGCAAAGCAAAGGCAAATGAATAGGAAGTGAAAAGATGCAAAGATAGCATTTTAGTAATTTTAAAGTTTAACCATCTTTGGGTGGGTGTTTTTATACATATTAGTCTTTTATTCCTGTTACAAAATACCTGAGACGCTTTATAAAGAAAAGAGGCTACCAGGCACATTGGTGCACACCTGTAATTCCAGCAACTCCAGAGGCTAAGGGAGGATCCCAAATTTAAGGCCAGCCTTGGCAATTTAGTTATTCAGCGAGACTGTCTCCAAATTTAAAAAAAGGGGAGGGGGGCTGGGGATGTAGCTCAGTGATAAGAGCTGGGTTCAGACATCAGTTACCCGTACCCCCCAACCCCCCACATATAAGAAACAAGGCTTATTTAGCTCATAGTTTTGTAGGGTGAAAATATAAGATCAGGTGACCCTACTGATTTGGTTTGGCCTCTGGCAGAAGCATATCTGTGAATAGGGGATCACCTTGCAAGAGAGGTGCCAGAGAGCTAGGTGGGGCCAGAATTTTTTTAACAGTGTCTTCTGAGAACTAACTCAAGGTTAGTTCCAGATCTACCTGCGTCCTGAGAGCAGTATCACCAGTGACCCTAGAGCCTCCCAGTAGATGCCACCTCTTAAAGGTTCTACCACCTCTCACATTATTGCACCTAGTACTAAGCCTTTAACACATGAACCCCTTAGACAAACTGGTAGCATTATGTGTATTTTCTGTAGTCAGGTGCTTGAAGAGGATGCTTGGGGAGAAAAAGAGCAGAGGTTAATATTGGTTAGGGGTAAAAGAGATTCAAGTTTTTTGAACTAGTGATTATTTTTTAGGCCTGGGAGTTTAAGAATTAATAAGAAAGCTTTTATCTGTGACATTTTTCCTTCCAGGGAAGTTGTTGACCAGATGTGGGGCAAAGGTCAAACCTTACATGTTGTTTTCTTTATCATTTGGCTTTCTGTCTTAGAAACAAAGTTATTGAGTAGCAGCTACTGATTTGGATTTTAAAGACTGAGATAACTGTGATTCACTTCTTGAGCTCCCTTTAAAGCTTCCATTTGTAAGTTAATTGTAGGAAATGCCATAAGTAGCAGTTTTGGAAACTTTCCCATAGGGTCGTCTCACTTTATAGTTAACGTTCAATGCCTAATTAATGTTTATTGATTACAAATTATATAGTAGGTACTATGTTACATGCTCCCATGTATTATTTCATTAAATCCTTTTAATAACCCTAAGGAGTAGATGCCATTTTCTCTCATTTTATAGCTAAGGAATCCGTTTCCTTCTCTGAGTTGTGAAAGGGTACTTAATTTGCTTGGTTGGGTCTTCATTCTTTTCTGTAGAAGAAGAAATCAACAACATGAAGATTGAACTAGAGAAGTATGGGATCCAGATGCCTGCCTTCAGCAAGATTGGGGGCATCCTGGCTAATGAGCTGTCTGTGGATGAAGCTGCATGTAAGAAGAGAGAGATTTTCTGGGTTCAAGTGGGATTGTTACTACAACTTGTAGTGATTAATACTGTGGTGATGATCTTGGACAATAGGAATTCTGCTATCAAGTTTAAGTCTATAGATGGGATTTTAAACATTGCTATAGTCTTCCATGCTATTGTTATTTGGAAATGAATTATCAATTTTGATTAAAAGAAAAACATTTAGAAAGTGAGTTCTACATTTCATTGCCTTTTTTTTCTTTTTTAAAAAAAATTTTAAAGATATTGATAGACCTTTATTTTATTTATTTATATGCGGGGCTGAGAATTGAACCCAGTACTTCACATATGCCAGGCAAGTGTGCTAATGCTGAGTCCCAGCCCCGGCCCCAGCCTCCATTTCATTGCCTTTTGAAGGGTTTCTTTTTTTCTTTATGGTATTCACTAGGTCATTAAGGGTGAACATTTTCCATACCAAATAAATGTTCCTTCTAGTGTTCCCTCATGAGTATTTCCCTGTGTGACTGTAAATTCAACATGGATCATAGGCAGAGCTGTGGCTTTGTGCATCAGAGACTAGGTTTGCAGGATCTAGGGAGTTACTCCTCTAGCTCCAAGTGTTTTTACTCTTATTTATGCAAAGGAACCTTTTGCTGGGTGTGGTCACACACACCTATAATCCCATCAACTCGTGAGGTTGAGGCAGAAGAATTGCAAGTTCATGGCGAGCCTAAGCAATTTAGTGAGACTCTGTCTCAAAACTAAAAGAAAAAAGAAAAGAGCTGGGGACATAGCTCTGTGGCAAAGCATACTGGGGTTCAATTCCCAGTACAGGAAAAAAAAAAGTTTTTCTCTGTAATAGGGGATGCAATGTTGTTTTGTATCTGTATATATCCTTTAGTAATTTCAGTATTCTATGCTTTGAATTTTTTTTTTTTTAGTACATGCTGCTGTTATTGCTATTAATGAAGCTATTGATCGTAGAATTCCAGCTGACACGTTTGCAGCTTTGAAAAACCCCAACGCAATGCTTGTAAATCTTGAAGAGCCTCTGGCTTCTACTTACCAGGACATACTTTATCAGGCCAAGCAAGACAAAATGACAAATGCTAAAAACAGGGTAAAAATGGAATATTTTTATAATTAATTTATATTCTTCTATCATTCGGTATGACTCCACTTTAAAAAAGTTTTATTAAAGTATAATTTACATACAATAAAATCCATGTATTTTAAGTGTACAATTTGAGTTTTACAAATGTATGTGGCTGTTTAACTATTTCAATGAAGAGTTCCCTGACTCCTCTTTGCAGTCAATCTCCATCTGCCCATCCCTCCTCCAGACAACTACCAACCTGTTTTTCTCACTATATCATACCATTTCTAGAATTTCATTGAAATGCAGTTATACAATATGTAGTCTCTTGGTATTAGGTTCCATTTTGACCTCTTGTTTTCTTTTTGAGTTTTGTGCAAATGAAGTTTTGGATTGTGGCCATTAAAAATTAATTATATCCTTTGGAAAGATGATTTCCAAATCATTTTCCCCAGCCCCTCTGGAGTGAATTTTTTTTTTTTAACCATTTTATCACTGTGTAGAAGTTAGCTGAATGATTCTGACTTGAAAAAGAAAAATGAGGCTAAGAATGTCCTATAAGACTTCACTCAAATTTATTCACCCCTTGAAATTAATGATTAAAATGTTTCAGTTCTTTGGAAAGTATCCAGATGATAAAATGAAGTCAACTCTGCTCTCAGAATATTCTTTAAATCTCTTATCATTGAGCAGGGATTTCAACCCCCAAAACAGGTGCCCAATTGATCTGCAGATTTGTAATTGCAGCCCTGCCCCTGTTTGTGCCACCAGTGAAGCTTCAAGATTGGTACCCATGTGTGCCCATTCTGCTCATGTCTGAGGCAAGATGTGGGTCATTAGTCCCACCACCTCACAGGGTTTATCCAGTGCTTCCTTCACTTGTCTAGCTCTGCAACATCCCAGTGCTTATTAACAAGTAGATCTAGTCAGGTTTTTAGTTGTAATCACGCAGCATTCTGCTCTTTTTTTTTTTTTTTTTTTTACAAAGGATTGAAGTCACATACACACTTGTTCTTAATTGTGTTGAATGGTGGTAGAGAGGTACAAATGTATTTCTGTGGTCTTCTTAGAGACCTGAACTAATTTAATTATACTTTTTACTCATCCTCAGACAGAAAACTCCGAGAGAGAAAGGGACGTTTATGAGGAGCTACTCACTCAAGCTGAAATTCAAGGCAATATAAATAAAGTCAACAGTAAGTATGTTCTTGAATAAGCACCTAAGGGGATATTACAGAATAATGTTTGTGTTGTTCTACTCTTGGACTTAAGACATGGTTTAGCTGGGCGCAGTGGTGCATGCCTGTAATCCCAGTGGCTCTGGAGGCTGAGGCAGGAGGATCAGGAGTTCAAAGCCAGCCTCAGCAACTTAGTGAGGCCCTAAGCAATTGAGTAAGACCCTGTCTCTAAATAAAATATTCAAAAAAGGGCTGGAGATGTGGCTCAGTGGTTAACTGCCCCTTGGTTCAATCTCCAGTACTCACACCCACCCACATCCCCCCAAAAAAAAGAAAGAAAAAAAAAAGACATGGTTTAATTGTAGACATTAGTGGATTTGTTTAGGAATGATTATTTATTACAGTATTGTGTATTCTTGTGTCTGTTTGAACTATCATTGCCCTCAGATGACCCTTGTTCTTATACCTGCAAGGGCTTCTGGGCTTTCTTTTTTGATTATTTTATCCTGTTAAAAATATTTTAAAAACATGTTTTCTGACCAGGCATGGTGGAGCATATTTGTAATCCCAACAGAGGATTGAGAGGCCAAGGAAGGCGAATCACAAGTTGGAGGGCAAGTGACTTCTGTCATGGAGCCACACCCCCAGCTGTTTACTTTTAATATTTTGAGTTAGGATATCACTAAGTTAATGAGGCATGCCTTGAACTTGGAATCCTTCTGCCTTAACCTTCCAGGTATCTGTGATTACAGGTGTGGACTACCATGTCCAGCTCCTCATTTTTTTGAACATCTTTGTAAATTCCTTCAGTTAGAGATTATTCTGCTTCTTTTGAAATTTTTATAATTCCCAGCATAGTGTTATACTCAACAAAAGAACAAAAATTTTTATTATAACCAATTAGACCGCATTTTGATTTGTTTTGCTCAAGATAATAATATACTAATCATTTATTTATTGGAGGTTCTAATTTGTTGTTTGAACTAATAATACTCTTGATAACTAGAGAGGAGTTTGGAAGAATTTCATCAACTCCATTTGATACAGAGATCTAAATCTTGACCAAGATTCTTTGTATTCTATTATATTATGGTTCATTTATTTAGGATAATGACCTTCTGAACAGAGTAATAGTTCCCTTCAAGTATGATTGATTTCTTGTGCTGTATCTCTCTGAATACTTAGGTTAGCAAATATAAACTGGACTGTGCTTATACTTAGTACTCTGTATGAGAAGAAAGTCCAGCATGTTTCCTGTTGCATAGAGTATATAAAATATTTTTTTGCTTTACTAAGGAGTTTTTCCTACAATATTGTTCAGGGTTTTATAACCTTTATTGCTTTCCTTGCTAATTATATGAGAATTATAAACTTGCAAGAAAATAATCATAAGTGTGTGTACTCGGTGTTCTATGCACATTGTTCTGATATGGTCATAGAAGTTCTTTCAAATAAACTCAATATAGTGGGGAAGGTAGCTATGCAAATGAATAATTTCAGGACAGCTTTATTATAACAAGGTAGCAAAGATATATGAGGTGCAGTCATAAAGAAGGGAATGGTAACTTCTCAAGGTTGGGGTAAGTTTTCAGTGCATGTAAATATTCACTGAGAATATGAGGAATATTATGTTCTTACGAAGATATAGGGACTTTTTCATCTTAATGTAATTATAGATAGAGGGTTTTTTTTGTTGTTGTTGTTGTTGTTGTTAGGGTATGAGAACCAGCAACACTGCTCATTAACACTGCCCCAGAGGAGATCTGCAGGCTGAGTAGTTAGAAAGCAGAAAATATTTTATTTTTTGTTAAGTAGGATAATAAAATTAAAGTTAATAATTAAAGTTCAGTGAGAGAAAGTATTTAAATGTTCTATTCATATTTTTACCTATGAAAATGGTAAATTTATGCTTCCAAAGAAAGCATAATTGACTAGAGGCTTTTGTAGCAGATACTCAGGTTCTGTAGTTCATACTTAGACAAAATCTGGTTGCTCTCTGAATTGATTTTATTTTCTGCCCCTACTATAAAAAAATAATAAACATTTAAAAAAACCTCAGTGAGGATGGGGATATTTGTTTTGTTAACTGCTGTTTTCACAGCATATCGCAGGACCTCGGTGAATATTGTGGAAGGAATAATGGCCATGTAGACCTTCAGCTGTGATTCAAGAAGATTATGTATACCTTGGCTCAGGGCTCAGGTAGTTGAATTACAGGCATAATCATTAGAAAGAAATAAGCAGTCTCCCGGGAACCTACAATGAGATCATAAATCCAGAGCAGTTTTTTCTTTCTTTTACCTTTTGGTTTTATTAGTTTTGCTTCTCCCCTATTGGTTGTACCTGCTCCCTACCCCCATAGTAACAGGCATATGTTTATTGAAGGAATAAGAAAAGGGAAAGGGGACACTTGCGAGGGAGATACTGGGTCCTCTCAGAGGGGAGAAGGGCCGCCATTTTCCATTTTATTTAAGACTTTATTTTCCCATGAGTTGTTTTGTCTTTCTAAGAACTTATATTAATAGTTGATTTTTTTAATGAAATCATTTTAAACTAATAAGTTTTGTTATGACCTAGATATTTTGAATTTTTGTGTTTTATTGGTTTCTTTTTGCTCATTGGTGATAAAATCAGATGTTCATCACTGAGTAGTGGAGTAATAGTCCGTTTTTTTCTAAAAAAGAAAAAAAGAGGGCTGGGGGTATAGCTCCGGTGGTTTAGTGCTTGCCTAGCATGCACAAGGCCCTGGGTTCAATCCCCAGCACCACAATACACACACACACACACACACAAAAAAAAAAACACAAACAATAAAGTAAGTATGATTTCTGACTGGGTATAATTTCTGAAATCAGAAATTATTCTAACTTTGAACTTAATAACACCTTATTCATTTTACAATATATGAAGGGCTTTCATGAGTATTTCATTTAATCGTAAAAATCACCCTATCAGCTCAGCATGATGTCATGAGCCTATATTCCACAGTACTTGGGAGGCTGAAGCAGGAAGATTGCTTGAACCCAGGAGTTTGAAATAGCCTGGGCAACATAGTGAGATACCGTGTCTTAAAAAAAAAAAAAAAATCACCCTTTACTATTACATTCAGATGAATGAATATCTGGGTTTCCATTGTCAGATGTTACATTAAAGAACTTGTGTGACATTGGAGTCTATGGCTAGAAATAGAAAGTGTTTATTTAGTGTTTTTTTTTTCCAATGTGGTACTGGGATGGAACTCAGTGCTTCATGCATGCCAGGCAAGCACTCTACCACTGAGCCACAACCCCAGCCCTAGAAGTAGAGGTTGAGAAGGGGAAGACAGCTCCTTCCACTCTGCACTTGATGTCTGGACACTGACTACCATGGCTTGAGAGTGTTCAGGAAATATCAGGATAATGAATGGATTCAAAATGATGCTATATAAGAAATGGTTGAAGAAACTCAGGCTCTTGGTAAGGAATGCATTGTCATAGGAAGCCAGAGGAGTTAAATACATTCTGTGTGAACTCTAGGATGGGAACTTTAAAAAGTCTTTGAAACAAAATTGTCAAAAATGTAATAAATTGTCATATTCTATACTTTTATCTGTTTAATAGTCTATAAACATGATCTGCTCAACTACTGGGCATTTTAGAAAGTCTGGATTGGTGGCTTCTATTAGTGCCAAGCTATCTACATCTGGAAGCTTTTAAGTAAGCTTGGGTGTGGCTTAGGAATCTGTATGGAATTTGGTGAACAACCTGGTTAAGACCCCCTGGACTGGATAACTTTAAGATTATCTTCTAATGCACAATGGAATTTTACTTAGCCATAAAGAAGAAAGAAATTATGGCATTTGTTGGTAAATGGATGAAACTGGGGAACATCGTGCTAAATGAAATAAACCAGATTCAGAAAATCAAGGGTCAGATGTTCTTTCCCACATACAGAAGCTAGAGCAAAGTAAGGGGAATAAAAAAAGGGCATGGGGGGCTGGGGATGTGGCTCAAGCGATAGCGCGCTCGCCTGGCATGCGTGCGGCCCGGGTTCGATCCTCAGCACCACATAAAACAGAGATGTTGTGTCCGCCGAAAACTAAAAATAAATAAATAAATATTAAAAAAAAAAAAAAGACAGAGGGAAGATCAGCAGAGTAGGAGATTGACTAGAAAGGGGAGGAAATACAGAATGAATTTCACAAAATTAGGTTATATCTATAAAGTGCCAATTAAATATATAAATGAGTGGAAGGTGAATTCTATCTTTATGTATATCTATAAAGTGCCAATTAAATATATAAATGAGTGGAAGGTAGATCAGTAGAATAGAAGAAGGGGAGTAGGTAGAGGGAAAGTGGGGGACACTGGGGACTGAAATGGACTAAATATAAATTCCATGCATAAATTATTATGTCAAAATGAAGCTAGCTATTATGCACAACTATAATGCACCAATAAAAGCAAAAAAAAATTATCTTCTAATCCTAAAATCTGAAATATTACAGATAAAGGCCAAATAATATTCCCCTAATCTGGAACTGAGTTTGAGGCTATTATACTAATATGGTATCTCTTTTTAAAGCCTTTTGTCTTTTTCTTCCTCCTCAGCATTTTCTGCATTAGCAAATATTGACCTGGCTTTAGAGCAGGGAGATGCCCTGGCCTTATTCAAGGCTCTGCAGTCTCCTGCTCTGGGTCTTCGAGGACTCCAGCAACAGAACAGTGACTGGTACTTCAAGCAGCTCCTGAGTGATAAGCAGCAGAAGAGACAGGTGAACATACTCTGGGTGGAACCTGCAAGAGTTCCTGTACATCCATTTGATTTTTGTTTGTCTTTTGATATTGGGCATTGAACTCAGGTACATTAACCATCGAGACACATCTCCAGCCCTTTTTATTTTTTATTTTGAGACAGGGTCTTGCTAGGTTGCTGAGGCTGGCATTGAATTTGCCATCCTCCTCCCTCAGTCTCCCTAATTACTGGAATTACAGGCATGCACCACTGCACCCAGCTATTTACATCCATTTGAATTTCATGCTGTCATTTAAAGATATGGCCTTTTCTTATTCCTAATTTCTTTTCCATCATTAGTTGAAAAAAACTTTCCTTAGCTAAATTACACATTATCTTCAGCCCTCTTTTGCTTTTAGAGCTGTGAATCCTCTTTTAAAATAATTAATACCCTGAATCTAACCACTTCTTCACTTCAGTTCTCCTGCTCCTCCCTGAGAAAAAGCCTTTGAAGGAAAACAAAATCTGAATTTTTTTACATTATTACTTGGGAATTTCCACTTTAAAACAAACACACACCCCACACTAGTTTGCCTTGGCCAACACTGGGAAAATACTTAATTTTTTCTATGGGTAGATTATGTGGAATTAAATTTTGTGGAGTTTTGGGTTTTTGTTTTTTTAAAGAACAAACATGAAGGGCTTTCTTTTTTGTCTAAATAAGGGCAAATATACATTTTACAAATTCTCTGTATGTTGGTTAGAGAAAGTAGCATTAATGTGCTCTAATGATTCTATAAACATTTTCTCTCAGAACATTTTGATGCTTTTCACAAAATAGTTTAAAAAATGTGCTGATATCTGGAAAGTCACTCTAGTCCAGATTTGTCTCTAGCCAAGCTGATACTTGGCTCCATGTAGCCCGTAGATGTCACTTGTGTTCGCCCTGTGTCTGCTGCTAAGATATGAAAACTATCAGGTCTAGAGGCATAGGCATGAATAATGTCTTCATAAATGTCCTTTGCTTTTCTCAGAGTGGTCATACTGATCCCCTGCAAAAAGAGGAGCTACAATCTGGAGTAGATGCTGCAAACATTGCTGCCCAGCAATATCAGAGAAGTAAGAATCCTCTCAGCTGGGTGTCCCCTGAAATATTTAGGAAGGGAGGAAATTTGTGGCTTTATGTCAATAAGGGTATGAGGTTAGCATCTATTTCCCCTCACCCTCTGCCCCAAGCCTACTAGCCATAATAACTACCAAGTACTTTGGGAGGCTGTAGGGTTCTTCCATTTTTTTTTTTTTGGCGGGGTGGGAAGTGTTGGCGTGGGTACCAGGGATTGATCTCAGGGGCATTTGACCACTGAGCCTCATTCCCAGCCCTATTTTGTATTTTATTTAGAGACAGGGTCTCACTAAGTTGCTTAGTGCCTCGCTTTTGCTGAGGCTGGCTTTGAACTGGCAATCCTCCTTCCTCTGCCTCCAGAGCTGCTGGGATTACAGGCGTGCACCACTGCGCCTAATGGGTTCTTCCAGTTTTAAGAGTAGAAGTAGAGTTAATGCAGGCTCACTTTGGCCAATAAGCACTTTATAGTCAGGGAAATATCTAGAGGAGGAGATACTAGATTGGTAAAATTTGAATTGTGAATGAGGAAAAGAAGAATGTTCCTTATGTGAAACAATAAGGAAGAAAGTGGGAGCAGGGGTGCAAAAGGTGAGCAATTCATTTAAGGAAATGGTGGTTAGAATAAAATTTTTATATATGTTTTGGGTTGAATAAAGTCAGACAAAGTGTTAGAAAAGACTGTGGAATGCTTTGAATTGTAGCCTAAGATGTATTTGCTGGACTCCAGGGGAAAGAAAAGATGTTTTAGGTGGAGATAATATTGGCATATGGGATGAGTTGAGTAGAAAGAAAACACTGATGAGGAGAATGATTAGGAGGCTGCCCTTATTGAAATATGGTTCACATGTCATACATCATGCAAAAGAAGCAACATTTAAAAGATGAAAGATCCACTTCAAGCTTCATAGCCTGATATTTCATAGCTTCAGTGAAAATTGTCACCTCCTTTCCCATAGGGCTGTCTAAGCCTGCTGCATTTCTGACCTCCTATTTTCTGCATAGGATTGGCAGCAGTGGCAGCAATTAATGCTGCAATCCAGAAGGGTGTTGCTGAGAAGACTGTTTTGGAACTAATGAATCATGAAGCGCAGCTGCCCCAGGTGTATCCATTTGCTGCTGATCTTTATCAGAAGGAACTTGCTACTCTGCAGCAACAGAGTCCTGAAGTAAGTTAGTCAATCCTCTCTTGTTTGTAAGCCAAATGGGGTGGAAGTAAATTTAATACCCACATCTTAGTAAGCTTAGGTAGAATGTTTTTCCAGAAACTTACTTTTCTTATAGTTTATTTAAACTTCCGTCTCTCTTGGTATTGGAGAATACCTCCACTTACTGTGTTTTCTTTCTCCCTTTCTGTACAGCATAACCTCACCCATCCAGAGCTCTCTGTTGCTGTGGAGATGCTATCATCAGTGGCCCTAATCAACAGGGCACTGGAATCAGGAGACATTAGTACAGTGTGGAAGCAATTGAGCAGTTCAGTTACAGGCCTTACCAACATAGAGGAAGAAAACTGTCAGAGGTGGGTGCCCACAGTAAATGCATTGAGTCCATTACATACCTGATATCCCTGCATTTCATCTATCTTCTCTTCTGTTTTCTCTGCAGGCATTATGACTATAGTGTAATCATTCTTTTTTGTTGTTGTTGTTCTGCTTTGATTCTTTTTATTCTGTATTATGCTGAAGCATTTACAGTACATTACAGATACCATGATGTTCCTCTCCTAAATACATGTGCTTATCTAAATTTGTTATATAGCCAAAATAACACTGTACTATCAGCAATATTAATACTTCTTTTAATATCTTCTAAATCTTAGTTTTTGTTTTTTTTTTTCATTCTTGTTCAGTTGTTCCAAAACTGTCTTTTATAACTGGTTTATTCAAACCGGGATCTAGACCAGGACCATGTGTGGCATCTGGCTTATGTCCCTTAGGTTTCTTTTAATCTAGAATAGGTCCTCTTTTTCATGACACTGACTTGTTAATGAGATGGGGCTAGTTGTTCTATAAAATTTCTCATCTTATGTATAGTTCTAGGAGCTTTCTCATGTTGCTTATTCTTATAAATTGGAAATTGGATCTAAAGGCTTAACATGATTTAGTTCACCATTTTTGTGATGTGAATATGATATGATATCAAAATTGACATATAAGATCTATTTTTTCTTTTATTTGAGATTCTTAGATTTTATCCTTGGGTCAGGGAGACAGTTTAAACACCATTGCATATTTTTTCCTTTAACAACAGGATATCATTTCTTTTTTAAAAAACTTTTTTTTTTTTTTTGAGAGAGAGAGAGAGAATTTTTAAAATATTTATTTATTTTTAGTTTTCGGTGGACACAATATATTTATTTGTATGTGGTGCTGAGGATCGAACCCAGGCTGCACGCATGCCAGGCGAGCATGCTACTGCTTGAGCCACATCCCCAGCCCCAGGATATCATTTCTTTTTGAACCTTTTACAACATCAAAGTGCTCCTTTCCCATTAACTGTTCACAGAATATTTTTTAACCCAATAGAGAATTTTTGCTTAAATCAGCACTTTAAAAGTTGCTGAATAATGATTTGTTCATCTGTCATTGCTTCTACATGCTCATGTGTCTGGTTGAGGAGGTGCTGGGAATTTAGCTCAGGGCCTCATGTGTGCTAGGCAGATGCTCTAGCATTGAGCTACACACCCAGTTTTTTTTTTGGTCATTAAAGGAATTGCTTCAGTTGTTGCCCTTGATTCTATATATAACAAGCTATTGAATAAGTGACTTCCTTACATTTTCACATTTTGTTTAAGGGAACTCCTCAATCCCCAAACTTGCCTATAGATTATATCAAACAGTTGGGGTACCCTAGAGTCCTTTGTTCTTTGAGTACTTTGTTCCTTAGTCTTCTCATTTCTGTTATCATCCTGAAGGTCTTTTGTTCTTGATTGGGGTTGGGGGCAGGTATCTCGATGAGTTGATGAAACTGAAAGCTCAGGCACATGCAGAGAATAATGAATTCATCACATGGAATGATATCCAAGCTTGTGTGGACCATGTGAACCTGGTGGTACAAGAGGAACATGAACGTGAGTAATCATCCTGCTCCTCAAGTAATGTCACTATTAAAGATGATGCAATTTCCACGAACTGGTTCTAGATATCGTTGCTAAAAATAACTTTTTTTGGGGGGGGGTACCAGGGATTGAACTTGAACTTGGGGGCACTCAACCACTGAGCCACATCCCCAGCCTTATTTTATATTTTATTTAGGGACAGAGTCCCACTGAGTTGCTTAGTGCCTCGCTTTTGCTGAGGCTGGCTTTGAACTTGTAATCCTCCTGCCTCAGCCTCCCAAGCTCCTGGGATAACAGGCATGTGCTCTACACCTTGCTAGAATAACTTGTGTGTGTGTGTATGTATGGTGCTGGAGATTGAACCTAGGGCCTTGTGCTTGCAAGGCAAGCACTCTACCAACTGAGCCCTTAGAATCACTTTTGAGAGAAAAATATTTATAAAACTCAAAAAGCTAAGGTTGGGGGGCTGGGGTTGTGGCTCAGTGGTACAGCACTTGTCTAGCATGTACGAAGCACTGGGTTCAATTCTCAGCACCACATATAAATAAGTAAATAAAATAAAGGTCCATGAACAACTAATAAAAATATTTTTTTAAAAAAGCTAACATTGGATACTGTTTTCAAAACACTAGGCAATTGCTATAGTTAGGTATGAATCTAATAAATAAGTTTGAGGGACTGGGGATGTAGCTCCAGTGGTAGGACACTTATTTAACATGCATGGGGTTCAATCCCTAGTACTACTGCCAAAGAAACAAAACAAAACAATAAGAATAAGAAATTTGGGGCTGGGGTTGTGGCTCAGCGGTAGAGTACTCACCTAGCACGTGCAAGGCCCTGGGTTCGATCCTCAGCACCATATAAAAATAAATAAATAAAATAAAGGTATTGTGTCCAACTACAACTAAAAACAATAAATATTTTTTTTAAAAAAAGAAATGCTTAAGGTACGAATATGTCATGATGTATTCCACTATTGCATATAATCATAATGCACCTACTTTTAAAAAAGTGCACACACACTTAAGGGGCTAGAGGAGTAGCTCGGTGGTACAGCATGTGTTCTGCTGCCTAAGGCCATAGGCTCCAGCTCCAGCTCCAGCTCCAACATTAACAAAAAGAAAACTTAAAAAGTATTAACTGAGCAACTGTGTATGCCAATCTTTATGCTGGGCACTGAGGATACAGCAATAAACGAGGTCCCTAGCCCCGTGTTACTACATTCTACTGGGGAAAACCCAAACAAGTCAACTTAAATAAATAAGAAACTTACAGACCAACGTAAGTATTATAAAGGCAGGGGGAAGGCTGAACACTTTCAATAGGAATGTCAGGACATTCAGAAGAGGTGATGTCTGAACTGAGACCCTGCAATTTTGAGATTTGGGAACAGCATTCCAGAGAGGACAGGAAGAACAAAGGCCCAGAGCATAGAGCTTGCAGTGTTAACACTCTGAGTCTCAGCCTTGGCTGCCCATTAGATTCACCTGGGGAGCTTTTTAAACTACAGATACCCGAGCCTCATTCCTGTGCTAGTTTTTAAGTTCTCCAGGTGAGTTTAATTTTCAGGTTGGCTATCCCTGTGTTAAAGGATCAAAGCCAGTGTGTCTGATCACAGGAAGTAAGGGGAATTGAGGTTAGACAAACAGGAGTAAGTCTGTGCCCAACCTTGCATGCCTTAGGAAGAAATCCGAATTTTATTCCAAGTCTTGGAGATAACTATGGGAGCCTTGTTCCAGAGGCA